TTTTTTTTTTTTTTTTCATTAGGAACTCTTGTAACTGATTTTCTATTTGGTCCCTGTTAAGTTTAGCTATGATGTTAACAGCCTTTTTGCTGCTACTGCCAAATAGGTGATTATGGGAGAATGGTTTTCCCAGGTACTTAATTTGCCTGTTCTTTTCTGTCAGCTATCATGGCATGCTAGTGACAGGAAATTTTTTACCATAGATGAATGGACATGCTTAAGTGCATTTGCAGAGTTAATAAAAACAATCTTGGTCAGAATTTGAACAAAGGTTTACTAATTCCATTTTCCATGTTGATAAACATTGTACCATCTTATATAACTAAATGCTTCAGAGAGTAGGCAATCATAGCTTTCCACAACTTCCTATCCTTTGTAGCTCTTAGTAATGTTTATTATTGTTACAGTCTTTTCCACTTCTTGTTCTGTTATCTATTTACACAAGCATGTTAATTAGATTACTCACTGTTTCCCTATGCACTTCTTGGCCTTCAATATCCTGTGAGTTTCAAATTCTCCAAGCCTGCTTGCCTTCATTATGTGTCCCAAAAATTTAAACTGTATCTTTCTAAGTCTAAGATCCTTTATTTTTACTATTCTTACAAGGCCTTGCATAGAATTATACTGATTAAAAAAGAAAGTAATGTGTAATTTATCCTAAAGAAGTGAGTATTTTAATAAAATAAATGTTGGCAATAAATCTTTTAAAGTTGTAATTAAATTAACATTTTAATATTTTCATGGCAATTGTTCTGATGAGCTTCTCCTCAGCTTTAGGAATTTAAGCACACTACTAGTTTGGCAATTAGGTCTCATTTTACAGTTGAAATTACTAAATGTAACCATACATCAAATGGTAACTTTTTTTTTTTTTTTTTTTTTCCCTCAAACTTCCCACTTGTGGGACTCTCTTCCAACTTTTTTACTTCTGGTCAGCTTTGATATTCAAACCTTTAAATGCAATGTCCATCATCATCATCATATTGTCTCTTTGAATCCTGCTCTTTTATTGTCTCCTCTCTTTTTCTAAGATTCTTTCACACTCAGTAACCCCTTGGAGCTTAGTGGCTTTATTGCCTTGCTTAGGTTGAAATGACTAAGCAAGATTTTTTATTTTTTTTCAATAATTTTTGTGGTAAATGTCATCCCCCTCCTTTGAAGTCCTTGTATACTATTAATGTAGAATGTCTTGTCATCAGCTAAAATCTTTCATCCACTTCAGGCCATAATCAATGTTTTCACTGCCTTCATCAACATCTATAAATTGTCTTGAATCATTAGACAATTGATTTTTTTTTCCTGAATTACCTCCACTTCAGGCCATAATCAATGATTTCATTGCCTTCATAACTTCATGTGTTGTTTTTGAATTATTATGCAATTCATTGTTTTAGTATAAAAGATGCAGAAAGTTGCCCAGAATGAAATACATTATTTTTCTTTGTGATTTGCTGCTATCTGTAAATGCTAGCATTTGCCTTACTAGATGTTTTCCAAATCACATTAATTAATTTACAAATAAATAATATTGCATTAATTTTAGTTCAGCTTAAGTTATTAGGAGTCATGTTCTCGTGTGATATCTTAATTGGCAAAATATCTGCTGTTCTAGTATAAAGAAATTCTTTGTGAGATATTTTATATCCTATTCCAACTGATTCCCTTGGGAGTTAAACAGAGTGATAGACACCTGAAGAAAGCCGGTGAGCACAACAGTCAAAACATGGCAATAACAAAGATGAGGACATTAGTTGTAACTCCTCATCCAAGAAATTCAAAGTTTTATTTTTTTTTAGTTTTACTTTCAATTTTTAGATGAGCTTTTTAATTTTTACTATTGCTTTTATCACAACTTTTTAGTCTTTGACATTTTTTTTAAAGTAGCCTGAAGTTGGGATAAAGAAATAACTTCCAACAAGAATTGAACTCCTCCCCAATATTTTGGACTTATTCTGACTTTGTAAGAGTCAAAGAATTTTCAACTAATACTGCGATAAAGAAAAGATAATTGTTGTAAATAAGATGACATGAAAAAATAACAAAAAAATGAATGAATAAGGAAAATGATTGTGTTTAAAATATTTGATCAATTCTAAAAACGAAATGGTTGACTGACTGGATGGCTATTTCATTTGCTTGTTCACTTCCTCTAGCACTGAGTCAAAATACTGACTTTACGTTCAGTGTTGGTGCCAATTAAGCAGAGGATGTCAAGGCAGCCTGGAACTGTGGCAATTATCAGGAAATTACAAACAGTTGACAAGAAATTTGGAATTAATCTCTGAGCAAAGAGAATTGTACCTTTTGAAGTCGTCATCGAGTGAACTTTCTGAGCTCTGGGACTCTACTAATTAGAACAAAGACATAAGCTCATCAAAAGGAAATTAGTTAAAAGAATTTAGATTAAATAAAAGACCTTTTGGTTGAAGTTGGCATTGGTTGAAAGATGACTTGCATCATCAAAGTGAAACGGTGCTGGGATAGCCTTTACTTTTCAAACTTTAAATATTTTTTTTTTATTTTCTTTCTGTTTGATGTGTAAGTTGATTTGGTTCATTTTATTATTAAGTAAACAACTGATTCCATTATGTATATCTGTGAATGTATATAAATTACATGTCTACTTAAAAATACTTATGGCATCTATATATGGAGATAATTTTGACTAGCTGGAGACTAAATCTGCCCATCAGGCTGAATTATTGTTATTGTATTCAGAGTGGTGATGATGCTGCATTGGTGAGTGGAGGGCTTCCTAGACTAAGCCAACGGTTAGAGTGGAGTCCCCCACCCCCATAATGAAATCACTGGGCATGTGTCTCTGACCAAAACGAGTTTTCAAGTCAGAGGACATTGGCTGTTGTTTAAACCTTGGGAGAGAGGGTCTCCACCATGTATATTTTGCCTAAAATGTACTATGCACGAATGAATACCTACCAAGACAGGTGAAAGGAACTGATCAGATACTCAGTTGTGCAGCAAGCATGATCGGTTATGGGATGGATCATGTTGGTTGTTAGTCAAAAAAAGGCAAAAAAAAAAAAAAATGGTACAATGGGGAAAACGTGAAAACAAAGTAAGGACATTTAGTCTCATAGCAATAATTCTCCATACCAGAATTTAGCCTACATCCATGTTTTACACTGGGAAAATGGGGTGGGGAGCTTGTGTTGGAGCTCATCACCTCATAATAGACCTGCAAATACGATATGGTCATCACCTTGTGGATAAGCCTGCAAATAGGACGTGTCGTCACTCTTCTACACTTATTTCTATGTAATCTTATGCAAAATTTATACTGTTATAAGCTACTTATTAACTATCGTGTTTGCTCCACTTATTTTATTTATTTATTTAAGTGTTTTAAAGTTGAAGAAAAATGCTGTTTGTCATTGGTAAACAAAGAACGCCTCGTACTCTCTCTCTCAAGTCTGATAGAAGACTATACGAGAAATCGGCTGTTTTCTTCCGCCAATTGGTTGTGTGTGTAGTTTACCAATGTTAGTTTTTGCTTGATAAATAGCACACGAGCCAGTTAAAAGACCTGTATCCAGCTTACCTACAGAATCAGATTTAGATGTAGCTAGAAAGCCCTCAAAAATGATGTGGGTAGATGGCTGCCTAACTGCTATTTTCTATAGCTAGACCTTTCTTCAACTTTTTCATAATTTCTTAGATGAAATATTTTATGACTCTCCTCCTTCTCTCATTACACACACACACACACACAATTATAGTTAACGAGTGCTTAAAAATAAAAATACAATTGTACTTTTTATACAAATTTATAAATACAATTAAAAATATTAAAAAAAAAAAAAGTTTCCAATGCCCCCCACACACACACACACACTAATAAAAGGGAACTGTTTATTCATTCACCAGTTAAAAATGGGAATGCTTTTGCACGTACCGAACAAAACAATCTTTAAAATGCCTATACCCCCTCTCCCTTTCTTTAATTGAATGAAGAAGGAAAAACTTCGGGGAAACAAACCAGAGTTTATGTACAAAATCTATGACTTCCAAAAAAAAACTAGTAAATTTATTTCCCTAACGAACCCCAATCCTTGAAAATCATGTTTCCTGCAAACCAAGCTACATGCGTAATTTTATATATCGAGTTCATGTCTCTTTTTGTGAATGGTGAATTGGGTTATTTTTCTGTTTGGAAGTTTATAAAAAAATATTTATTTGAAAAAAAAAAAAAAAAATTTTCTGGCACAATGTTTTCGTTTTTATTTTTTTCCTGTATGTCTACAACTTCTCACTACCCCCTCCAAACTATTACTGCTTTCATCTTTGTTGTTTTTAACGATAGGGTACGCTGATGGAAAAAACATGAACCCGTTCTGTTAAATAAAAATGAATAGTCAAAACTTTTTAAAAAATCTCTTCTGTTACTTCTATAAGAAATTGTCAACTTAATATAACAAGCTGCTATGTTGCTTAATAATGAAGTTATATGCGTATTATTCTTTATGGCTTTCCTGTGACCAAGAACAAGTTTGTTTTTTGCGCGCCTTATGTAGAGTTCTACATATGTATAGACTTCTACCGAGAGTACTTGCTTGCGTTTTTGATGCCGGCACTAGCCAGCAATTTTGTTCCGACTACTGTGTTTGTTTCTTCAGAGACTTGGTGCAGCAGCAGCAGCAGCGTCGGCACATAGCAAACCATCTGTCTGCTGATTAATTGTAACTGAATAGGAGATAATTATTGGTATCCAATATCAAAGCTAGTCCGGTTCCTTTGACTTGCTTTCTCAGACCGCTGATCAAACACTAACAGAAAAAGCGGGGAGAGAGAGAGAGATTGGGTTGAGGCTGAAGAAAGAATAAGAGAGGGAAAGACAGCAAAGCTTGTTCACAGTTTGCCACAAAGGCCTGACTGTATAGCTATTAACCCTCACACACACACATATATATATATATATATATATATATATATATAGTGTGTATATATGTGGGGTTTTTTTTTCTGTCTCACTTTTATCTTAGAGCTACCCTCTCCCCCTCACCGCATTTCCCTCGTCTCTTCTCCTACCCCCCCCATATCTTTCCTCACCCCCAGCTTCTTGTTGGTTGTGAAATTTGATGGTAGATCAAAGACCTCGCCTGCACACTTCTGGTTTGGGCTGTTTTATGAAGGGGTCTGGCCGGGAAGATACAGCTCGCTTGCTTTGAAAAGGTACTGAGATTCTCCCTGTGTGGTTCAGTTGTGATTAGGATCATATGTTTGCTCAAGGTTTTTTTCTTTTCTCCTCCCCGTCCATTCCTTTCATGTTTTTTCTCTCTTCTTCTTTTTCTTCTTTCAGTCATGTTCTAGATTCGTGATTTCTTTTTGCCTTTCTTTCTCTTGTTTTTTCGTCTTCCACTTCATTTTTCAGTTGTTTTTTTTTTCTACTTCTCCCTACAAGTTTTGTTTCTTCAATCCGTTCAGTGATTTTATTTCTGTGTTCATTCATATTTCCATATATATATATATATATATATATATATATATATATATATATATATATATATTCATGTCTATTCAATTCTTTCTCACGTGTGTGTGTGTGTATATATATATATATATATATAGTCCCTTCCTCTCAGTTTGTACTTTTTTGTTAGGCTTCTCTCTCTTCAAATTTTTTAGCTTCTTCTGTCTTTCTATATATATATTTTTATCTCTCTAATCTTTTTGTTACCCCATCTTCCTCTCTTCATATATTCAGGACTCCTTTTCTCCCTCCGCATATTTTTACGTCTCTCTCTCTTTTCCCTCTCCATATATTCTGGGCCCTATGTCTCTCTTTCCATATATTCTGGGCCCTATGTCTCTCTGGCTCTTCTTTCATATTTTCCTTTTTCCTTTCACAATATTGCAATTCTCTCATACATCTTTTTTGTTCCTCCGGATATTTTTTTTTCTGGTTTCCTCTCCTTCATTAATATCTATTCTTTTTTTTTCCTCTGGAATAAATAATTGTCTTGAGATACAAGGATAGTCTTGTTCTCCATAAGAAACTGCATTTCTGTCACTTTTGTTCCATGGTATTTAATTTCTTTTAATCCATGACCTTTTTTCTCTCCCTAGTACATTGCCCCTGTCCCCTGTAGTCCAAACAAACTTTTTTAACTGATGAGCTGATGACTCACAACAATCTCACTTAGATTCTCTTGATGAAAACACAACAACAATAATAATTACTTTGGCTTACGGTTCCAATATGTCCTACTTAAAAATATTTGAAAATCAGTTTGCAAAACCAACTACTTGCCTAATATTCTTGCTTGTCACATGACAAAAACTTGATGCCATCTCCCATGTTTCACTTTTTTTCTGTGGTCATATAAAAACAGATGTAAACAACCATAAAAGAATTTTTCAGATTTTTTTCTGCATAATCAAAAATTAAAAGAGCAGAAAGAAATGCAACCTCAAAATACAAATCAAGCATTAAAAGTTGACAATTTTGGCAAAGATTTAACTTGAGAGACTGCTTTTTCCTTTTTGAATTTCTGGAATGTCTATTAAAAGTTATAATCACATTTTAGACCTTGTGGCCTCCAGCTTTTTTTAAGTGTCTTTCAATCCCAGTAACTTTCAAGGAATTTTGCTGAATCCTTTATTAAATTTACAGGACAGATTGTTCTTGTTTTGCTGTCCATGTCTAGAGATATCACATCTTGTCTCTTTTTTTTTTTTGTTAATACTACTCAAACATTGCTAGTTCTGTTTCTACTTAGTCTGTACCTAAAATTATTATCTATTCTGCTGCTAGATTAAAAGAAACAATATGGTTTTGAGAAAAGGGGATAATGAAGAATGTAGCTATATGACTAAATTTGAATTTTGCCTGTTGCTGTGTCTCTATAGACAAATTAGTAATTGAACTTTGATCTTATCATCACTTATATTATATGCATTCATTATATCTATCTATATCTCTGAGATGAAGTATTATAATTACTTGCATTTTTTACATTACTCGGACTGTTATCTTCATCTTCATTACCATATTCACAATGTTTCGGTTGTCGTACACTCCAGCCTTTTTCAGGTGACTGGAATTTCAAACTGAATCCCTTATTTTGTCCACTGAGGTAGATTGTAGACCCAAAGAGTTGTGAGTTCAATACCAGGCTACAGCAGTGGTGAACCAAAACTTGGACAGTTGAGTTAAACGGGAAATAACTGAGACATCCAGAGGAGGCATGGCACATGGAACTAGAACAATCTACCTTGGTGGACGAAATAAAGGGGTTTGGTTTGAAATTCCAATCTCCTGAAAAAGGCTAGAGCCTGCAACATCTGAAACGTTGTGAATATTGAAATGAAGATGAGGTTAACAGTCCAAGTAATGTAAATAATGAACGTAATTGTTATCATCATAACATTTTAACTGTTGTACCCCCTGTCAGTGAAGGTAACCATCAGGGGAAAAAACACTTTACTAAATCTCTGGAGGCAGATTGTTCTTGTTTTTTGTTTTGTTATTTAGTACTGCTCAGTTACTGCTGTCTCCCTGTTTCCACTAAATCTAAATTAGCACTATCCAGCCCTAGGATTAAATTCAGTTACAATGCCTCCAAATTCACAAACCAATGCTTTAAGTGACAAAAAAGGTCAGAGAGTAAAACAGCCGAAACAGTGTAATAATGAGAAAAATGAGTACATTGGTATACCTGGAAATAATAACACCGTATCCAAGAAATTCAGACAGAAATTTGTATGTTCATATTACAAACTTAAGAAAATAGTTGGACAAAAATCAATCAACTGGTTATCATGATAACAAGGTGTCTTCTACTAAAGTTATTTACAAAACCTAAGCCTGGTACAAGGCTGGAAATGTAGGGCAAGCACACTAAAGGTCAGGCTTTATTTTTACTCTGACAGATTTTTCTCATTTTAAAGCAGAGACTTATGTTGTACTCCCTCTCTACTGCTGCCCATGTTTAATTAGGTTTATATACTCTTGTACTTTTATAGATAGTGTGTTTTTTCTTTTCTTTTTTTTCCATCAGTCATCCGTAAAAATTATTTTTATTTTTGTTATTCTCCCCTCCCTTCCTCCCTCCATACACACACACACTCTTCCATTCTATGGTTACTGACATCATTTACTGAGAGGTAATACTGACTCTGCTTTTGATAAAGTTTTACCCCCCTTCCCAATGTGTCACCAGGCATCATTCCATAAAGCAAATGTCCAATTCAATGATGCCACATGACAACTAGTTGTGCATATGGAATGAGTTCTTGAAAATGCTGGCAAAAAGATTAGGGTTTCTCTTTAAGAGAAGTGATATTCTATCCATGGGCAGTTATCATCAGCAAATACTTACCTGCAATGCATAGGTCTTAAAAAGTGATGACAAAATTACGTGTATTCCAGGTAACTGTTTCCATAAATTAAAAGACATTCTCTTATGCTACAAGGGACGTTGCTTATTGGATTGATGGGAATTATTTTACAATATTGGGATAATAATATATAAATTTTTATTCATCAAGAATAGTTTTGGAGGAAAGATATATGACAAAGTGGAAAAGGTTTTCATGTGATACATTTCATAGACTAAGAATTTATTAAATATTTAGTAACAAAGATGATAGAATTAAAGACTCTGAATGAATTTAGCCAGAATATAGACCCAAAACACATTAAAAAAATTTTTTTTTTTTTCTAAATTTAAAATCCCTATCATCTCTTGTTTGTGTTCATATGTAGTTGTATCAATGTAGTCCTAAGGGATGAAACACATCACATGAAAATTTTTTCCACTTTGTCATACCTATATAGTGCACTCCTTCCCTCAAAAAATGGCTACAAAATTCACTGTGCACCTTACATGTGAGTTAGAGGCCACCTCTAGGTTGATTTTTATTCTCAATTCTCATGACTGTAGGCTATAATTTTACCTGACACAGTCACTTCTATGTAGTATAACTGTACAAGAATATTATTTACCATTACTTTAGACAGAATGATTGCAAGGAAGTACTGGCAATGTTTGTTGGTATCGGTTGGTTTCTCCTACCTAGATATGCCTCTACACACTCCTATTGTTAATCCACTAAAGAAGACTGAGATATGGCTGAAAGGAAATATATGTAATGATAAAAACACTAAATTGTGAAACCTGGCATTAAGAAATATGTCATAATGCTAACTTGCTTTTTATATACAGTAATGTTTTCTGTTATATGCTTTTGCAATAGACTGATAGGCTGCTTTGAACCTTATATGCTTAAATGAAGAAGTGGTACATCTCTGAGATATATGCAAAATTGGTGGGACGTCTTTATATATATATATATATATATATATATATATATATATATATACACACACACACACACTTTGGGGAGTCTCTTTAAAAGATATAGATACAAATTTAAAGATATATATGCAACCTGGAGACCTGTTTGTTAATTGTGGTAGCTGTCATCTATCCCTCCTTTTCAACTGAAATATCCATATAACATTTGTCTATTTCACTTTTCTTTTTCTTTTTTTTCTGTCCCTTTTTTTTTTTTTTTCTGTCCCTTTTTTTTTTTCTGTCCCTTTTATTTTTTTTTGATTTTTTTTTTTTTGTTTCATATAAAAAAAAGAAAGAGATTGACATCACCATTTTTAATCAAGACAGTATGAATTAATGTTACAGTTATAGGGAAGGAAATTTAATCAGATACTTAAAAATCTCTGAGCAAAAGAAAATCATCAACATTTTCAGTTGATGAGTCTGGCAGTTATCTCCCTTGGCAATTTAATGTCTACACTCAGATTTTATTCTATTTCAGAGATAAATAACTTATTGATTGCCTTCTTTTAATATGAAATATACTTTGCTCTTTACGTCTATTTTTTATGGCCACTATCCTGTTTAAAAAAAAATAAATAAATAAAAGCAAGTTTTCTAACTAAATGTGCTTAAAAAAAAAAAGAGCAAATGAAATTTGCCACTGAACTTCTTCCCTCTCTCCCAGTAAGAGTGATTGTTATTCATTCTTCACTTGTTTTCCTTTCATCTTAATTTCCAGTTTTTTTATTATTATTATTGCAACTCTCAAGTTCCCAGTCTGCAACCATTAGTAAGCTCTATGAATTGAAAACAATTTGAATTTGAACGTGCCAGTTCTAATCGTGTCAGTCCTATTTTTTTCAATCTCTCATTTATTTATGACAATATGAGAATTATGAAAAAAAAAATAGTTAAAAATTAATATTTGAGAAGGCTACATTCACAACCAAAATCATTTCCATATCCCCCACCACCACCACCACCATCTTTACAATTGTAAAGAGACTTTCCACTAAGACAGCTTTTCCCGAACAACTTCTACATTGTAAAACCTATTTTCATGTGGATGCTTCCCTCAAACACTACAATCCTAACTATTTCAAGTCAAGAGTCAATTGTTATCTATCCTCATAACAGTAAACTTCTACCTTGAGTGACTCTGGAGCCTTACATTGGGTGAACTTTACAAATAAAAACCTATTACATTTAATCATAAGAGTAATTGTTTTGAAAATGTTGCATAATCTTTTGATCATCTAAGAATATATATTCTCTCGTATATCTTTTCACCTTGTTTGCTGGTGTCCATTTTATTAAGAGCTTAAATCTATGCAGGATTTTAAAAAAATTAATCCCTGTAATCTTATAGTGCTTGTATGACTTGACTGATCCTTTGTTTAACATGCTTCAATGACATCAAAGCTGAACCCATTTGTATATTTTAACAGCTATGTCAAATGCTTTTACTAAAACTGGAAGTTCCTCACCACACACAAACACATGAAAACTTTTTTTCTTTTTCTTTGTTTTTATTTTTCCAAATAATTTTTTATTCTTAGCTTATTTGTCATTTTAAGATTTCCTTTTGATATAAAATTTTTCATGGCTTCATTACCACACCACTTTAGCACTTTCAACAGCAGCAACGCCTAAAATAGAAATCATATGTAAGTCGAAGTGAAAATAATGACAAAATCAACATGTTGGCATTCCACACTACTTCAAACAAAAGGTTAGGAAGGAAACGTCTCTTAATACTAGAAAGATAGCCTAGATGGATCTACTCCCTACATCCTTATTACGGAATTAAGCAAGATACGAGGATGGGGGGTTAGTCTACGGTGTCTTGCCAGATAACTCGAGCTTCATATGTAAGACTCAAAAAATATTTAAGTGGGTGCCATTCATGTATTCAAATGCAGTAGATATAATTTACATATGCACACACACACACACACACATATATATATATATATATATATATATATATATATATATATATAAAATTGTTTGGGTCTGCAGGTTTGATGGATATTGGCTCAGAATGAGAAATCAGAAAATTGAGTTTGAATTCCAGTCAAGTTAGATTCACTTAAGCACAAATATCTTTTTGGAAAATATGAATCTCAATTTCTCTCTCTCTCTCTCAGTAGTTGAGCAGGCTTATCTCTTCAGCCTTGGTTGGCAACTAGTCTAGGAGAAGGGCCACTCTGAATCTAAAAAACAAAAATCTGTTTATTATCTTCATCATTCTATTCTACCAGCTTCCTATCCCACTCTTATGTTTGAACAACATGGTTTTCTCTGTTATCTTGGATGCTAGAGTTTTAGGTCATATCTTCAAACAAATGAATCTGGTCACAGCTAATCTAAACTCACACCATAACGACTTATTTACACTTTGTGAAAGTTTCAATGTTTCTATAAATTTTGTAGATTTACTCAAACTCACTTTGTTGATATTTCATCCGCACTCTTCCAAAATTGTAACACTAGTGATTGTTATGTATATGTTTACTATTTGTCTAAATGCTTGTTAGCATTTCTACTCATCTGTGAATAACAATGATATATTGTTGGGGTGGAGGGGTAGTTATATGTTGTTTGACGGCGATAGCTTGGTGGAGGCGAATTGCTGCTGTCTAACTATATTTCTATTGACACTATTTACATTGTTTGGACTGTTGTCCTCATCTTTATTGCCATGTCAACAATGTTTTGGCTGTTAGAATTTAGAACCAAAAGCTTTTAGTCCACAAGAGTAGATTATTCTAGTTCCACATGCCATGCCCTTTTCTGGATATCTCAGTTTTGGTTAATTCCCTTTCATAACTCAACCCTCCAAAGTTTTAAACTCACAACTGTTTGGGTCAAGTCCTTTTTAAGGATCATAACACTTTATCCACATCAGTGAATGAATTTTTGGGACTTATAAACCTAATGTCTCAGTAACCTTTTTTAACAGAGCTCATATTACAAATATTTTTTTGTTATTGTTGCAATATTGCTGGTATCTTTATTGAATAAATGTTGGGTGTTGGGATGCTAAGAAAGTATTACTTTGTTTACTTTCGGATATGAAAATAAAAATAAAAAGATATGAACTTTCAAGAAGACCTGAACAAGAAAATGTGCGTTCTTTAAAAGGTTAATTGAACCTTGCTGTGATATGCTTTCTGTGTTTAAGTGGTCTGAAGCATTCTGGATCAGACTGGTTTCCCCTACTATAGGTGTGGGTTCAGACCCTGCCAGAAAGCACATTCTCTCTTGACTGCAAGCTCGAAGATGTAATTTGCACAAAAAAAAACGGGGCATTTACTCAAACATATGTATCTATTAAAATATCATTTAAAGTGGTAAGAAGTAATGCAGTAATTGCAGTAAGGGAATGGAACGGGGTTTCTCCCCCCCCCCCCGGGGGGGGCATTTTATTCAATCATGATGCATAAGATTTTTATTCTATTTAGAAGCCTTCAACAGCAGACACGTTTTTGTTAAGGAAGAGCTTATATTTATCAGCAGAGATGTACCTTTGCATTTGACAGTCAACCACTTGTTACACAAAGAAATCTGAAATAAATTGTGATTTTTATGTGCAAAATCACATCTGATCAATATAAAAATTTGCCTTTTAAAAAATGGGGTTGGGGGAATCTCTTCAGAAAATCTTGTTGGAAATCGAAAACATTTTTTTTTTTTTTTTTTAATCTCCCTCCCCTTGATCATTCTCTGTCTACAACCACCTCCATGTCAGTGCCATACTGCATCCATCATCTTTCTTGTAACAAGACATTTTTTGGCTTTCACTAGAGTAGTTTCCAAATAATATTAAGCTGAAGCCCCTGAGCACCATACCCCCACCCCTAGGCAATGCCTCTTCTTTTGGATTGGACTAAGATCATTACCTGATGCCTGAGCCAAAAGTGCTGAAGATGACTTAAGCAATTTTTGCACTGTATTGCTGTTAAACCAACTTTAAGCCACAATCTTTTGTCACTTTTGATAACGATATGGGAGTATTGAAAAATCCACTTAACAAGACTTTTTATTTATTCATTTTCAGCAAAGGGTTTCCTTGTTACAGAGTTTGTTACTGACTTTAAAGGTGAGGTTCAGTCAGAGGCATTACTGAACTTGTTCAGTCCAAATTCTTGTCATGTTTGTTGAACTCACATTCATATAAAGAATCTTAAGAAATATATGAATGCATTTGTTATACACCCCCCCCCCCCGTAACACACACACGCACACACAAGTATGGGTCAAATAGCAGGGGTAGACCTGGGACTCTCCTCTAACCTTGGGTGGCCAACAGTCTAGAAGGATAACTCCAAATTCTAAACTGGAAAAAAAAAAAATGTAAAACCTCAAAATCTTTCTGTCAAGAAATTGTGGCAATTCACAGATAAAGAAAAGGAATGTGAAATGATATGGCATAAGAAAGTAAATTTGCATTTTAGCAATGGACGACTCTACTTCTGTAAAATATCTTCATTTCTTTGCATTGTAAGCAAAAATGTCTAAAGTTTTTTTGTTTATCATCTTGGTAATTATTTATTTCTATATATTTTTTTAAGCTTCTTTCTATCTTGAGATATTTCCTTCTTGCCTGTGTATTTGCACATGCACCCCCCCCCCCTAAAAGTTTCAATATTGTCCCCCTCCCCCATTACTGCTGTTGTTGCTTCTACCTGATGTTGTGTGACATGTGTGTCTGTAAGCTCCTCCAAAACACTTGAGGAATGCTTTCAGGTCATACAAATAGGAAGTCATCAAAGTTTTTTTGGGTTTTTTTAATTTTTTTATTATTATTATTATTATTATTAAAAAGAAAAGAGGAAAAATTTCGTAGTGAACATAGAGAGACTGTTTTTCTATTTGATTCATTTTTTTAAATTTGTGCATATGTGTGCGAGAAAGAGAGAGTGAAGGAAAAAAGACCATCACTAAACTTTAGACTACCCCCACCTCCTCTCTCTATCTCTCTGAACTGCACCAAGTCAGGGTGGGAGGTAATGAGTGAATAAAAAATTCCTTTCAGTATCCAAATATTGATATGCATACTGGCACAAGGCTCTGTGTGTGCATGTACCTTACTACAGCACTAATGGTCTACTTGGTATTAACCCATGGAGAAGTGCCAAAATAGCCCCTCAAAATGGTAAAGTGAAATGTATGTGGCAATCAGTGATATAAATCTGCTACAGGGGTAATGGTCAGTGGGTGTAGCTGGCGAACCATTAGACCTTCCTAGAAGTAGTGGGTATCAATCTACCACTCAGTGGGGATTAAACTCACAGGAGTAGTAAAGATTTGCTAGGTTGACTATTATTATTTTTATTTTTTTTTTATACTATGCTTAACTTAATATGGTACAAGGCAGCAAATGAGGCACACAATGAAGATTGAATTCTTGTACAAATAAATATTAACCTTCCATTAGTACTGTGAGGGTATTGTCACAGCATTAGAATTATGGGGTTTTCTAAAAAAAAAAAAAAAAACTGTGGGTCCGTGTCTCTCTCTCTCTCTCTCTCTGTGAGTCCGTCTCTCTCTCTCTCTCTCTCTCTCTCTCTCTGTGAGTCCGTGTCTCTCTCTCTCTCTCTGTGAGTCCGTGTCTCTCTCTCTCTCTCTCTCTGTGAGTCCGTGTCTCTCCTTCTCTCTCTCTGTGAGTCCGTGTCTCTCCTTCTCTCTCTCTCTCTGTGAGTCCGTGTCTCTCCTTCTCTCTCTCTCTCTCTGTGAGTCCGTGTCTCTCCTTCTCTCTCTCTCTCTGTGAGTCCGTGTCTCTCCTTCTCTCTCTCTCTCTGTGAGTCCGTGTCTCTCCTTCTCTCTCTCTCTCTGTGAGTCCGTGTCTCTCCTTCTCTCTCTCTCTCTCTGTGAGTCCGTGTCTCTCCTCTCTCTCTCTCTGTGTCTCTCCCTCTCTCTCTGTCTCTCTCTCTCTCTCTCTCTGTGGTCCGTGTCTCTCTCTTCCGTGTCTCTCCCTCTCTCTCTGTCTCTCTCTCTCTCTGTGGGTCCGTGTCTCTCCTCTCTCTCTCTCCCTCTCTCTGAGTCCGTGTCTCTCCTCTCTCTCTCTGTCTCTCCCTCTCTCTCCTGTGTCTCTCTCTCCCTCTCTCTCTCTGAGTCCGTGTCTCCCTCTCTCTGTGAGTCCGTTCTCTCCCTCTCTCTCTGTGAGTCCGTGTCTCTCCCTCTCTCTCTCTCTGTCCGTGTCTCTCCCTCTCTCTCCTGGGTCTCTCTCTCTCTCTCTGTGAGTCCGTGTCTCTCCCTCTCTCTCTGTGAGTCCGTGTCTCTCCCTCTCTCTCTGTGAGTCCGTGTCTCTCCCTCTCTCTCTGTGAGTCTCTCCCTCTCTCTCTCTCTGAGTCCGTGTCTCTCCTTCTCTCTCTGTCTCTCCTCTCTCTCTGTGAGTCCCGTGTCTCTCCTTCTCTCTCTCTCTCTGTGAGTCCGTGTCTCTCCTTCTCTCTCTCTCTCTGTGAGTCCGTGTCTCTCCTTCTCTCTCTCTCTCTGTGAGTCCGTGTCTCTCTCTCTCTCTCTCTCTCTCTGTCCCGTGTCTCTCCTTCTCTCTCTCTCTCTGTGAGTCAATGTCTCCTTCTCTCTCTCTCTCTGTGAGTCCGTGTCTCTCTCTCTCTCTCTCTCTCTCCAGGTCTCTCTCTCTCTCTCTGTGAGTCCGTGTCTCTCTCTCTCTCTGTGAGTCCGTGTCTCTCCTCTCTCTCTCTCTCTCTGAGTCCGTGTCTCTCCTCTCTCTCTCTGTCCATGTCTCCTTCTCTCTGTGAGTCTCTCTCTCCTCTCTCTCTCTCTCCTTCTCTCTGTGAGTCCGTGTCTCTCCTTCTCTCTCTCTCTCCCTCTCTGTCTGTGAGGTCCGTGTCTCTCCCTTCTCTCTCTCTCTCTCTCTCTGTGGTCCGTGTCTCTCCTTCTCTCTCTCTCTCTCTCTCTCTGAGTCCGTTCTCTCTCTGAGTCCGTCTCTCTCTCTCTCTGTGAGTCCGTGTCTCTCCTTCTCTCTCTCTCTGTGAGTCCGTGTCTCTCCTCTCTCTCTCTCTCTGTCTCTCCTCTCTCCGTGTCTCTCCTTCTCTCTCTCTCTCTCTGTGAGTCCGTGTCTCTCCTCTTCTCTCTCTCTCTCTCTCTCTCTGGCCAGTCGTCCGTCTCTCTCTGTGAGTTCTCTCTCTCTCTCTCTCTCTGTGAGTCCGTGTCTCTCCTTCTCTCTCTCTCTCTCTGTGTCTCTCCCTCTGTCTCTCTCCTTCTCTCTCTCTCTCTCTGTGGTCGTGTCTCTCTCTCTCTCTCTCTCTCTCTCTGTGGGTCCGTGTCTCTCCTCTCTCTCTCTCTCTCTGTGAGTCCGTGTCTCTCCCCTCTCTCTCTCTCTCTGTGGTCCGTGTCTCTCCTTCTCTCTCTCTCTCTGTGTCTCCTTCTCTCTGTGTCTCTCCTTCTCTCTCTCTCTCTGTGAGTCCGTGTCTCTCCTTCTCTCTCTCTCTCTCTGTCTCTCTCTCTGAGTCCGTGTCTCTCTCCTTCTCTCTCTCTCTCTCTGTGAGTCCGTGTCTCTCCTTCTCTCTCTCTCTCTCTGAGTCCGTGTCTCTCCTTCTCTCTCTCTCTGTGAGTCCGTGTCTCTCCTTCTCTCTCTCTCTCTCTCTGTGAGTCCGTGTCTCTCCTTCTCTCTCTCTCTCTCTGTGAGTCCGTGTCTCTCCTTCTCTCTCTCTCTCTCTCTGTCTCTCCTTCTCTCTCTCTCTCTCCCATTCTCTCCTTCTCTCTCTCTCTCTCTCTGTGAGTCCGTGTCTCTCCTTCTCTCTCTCTCTCTCTGAGTCCGTGTCTCTCTCTCCTTCTCTCTCTCTCTCTCTCTGTGAGTCCGTGTCTCTCCTTCTCTCTCTCTCTCTCTGTGAGTCCGTGTCTCTCCTTCTCTCTCTCTCTCTCTCTCTCCTTGTCTCCTTCTCTCTCTCTCTCTCTCTCTCTCTCTCTCTCTCTCTCTGTGAGTCCGTGTCTCTCCTTCTCTCTCTCTCTCTCTGAGTCCCGTGTCTCTCCTTCTCTCTCTCTCTCTCTGTGAGTCCGTGTCTCTCCTTCTCTCTCTCTCTCTCTGTGAGTCCGTGTCTCTCCTTCTCTCTCTCTCTCTGTGTCTCCGTCCTCTCTCTCTCTCTCTCTCTCTCTCTCTCTGTGAGTCCGTGTCTCTCCTTCTCTCTCTCTCTCTCTCTCTCTCTCTCTCTGTGAGTCCGTGTCTCTCCTTCTCTCTCTCTCTCTCTCTCTCTCTCTCTGTGAGTCCCTCTCTACAGTCATTTTAGTTTAGTGAACAGGAAGTCGGGGGTGGGAAAGGAGGATAAATTCAGTTGAACCTTTTCTTAGTGAATCAATGTTTCATTACATAACTTGATCTCTATGTAATCTCGAGTGAGAGAATTCTAGAATTCTTTGCTGGGGACAGGGGGCTTATCTATCTGCTGCTTGTTGTTTGTGGATCAAGGTCAGGCAGCTGCATTTAAGGGATTATTAGATTAAAATTAGATTATTCGATCTAGGTTAATGATTTGTTCAAATAAAAACCTGAAACTGATAAGTCATGTATCACATATGGGTCCTCAGTGTTAAAGTTGGCTTTTTATTCAGACATCATTATACATTAATGTACGCACAAAGTGCGATGGATAAATTGTCGCCTAAATTACGTGAAAATGAAAATAACACTGACATTTCATTTTATCAGATATATTTACCAAAATATACAAATATATCTTGAAATACTAAAGAGTAAATTTATTCAATAAAATTGCCATTGGCTTAAACCATGGCCTTCAGGCAACTTCAGAATTTCCTGCAACTCTTCTGGACGGTCTCCTTGTTTAAGTTGGTGAATGTTGCCATAATCCTTGCCTTCAATTCATCTTTAATCAAATGGGGTTGCAGTCTGGGGAGTTAGGTGGCCAGATGTAAGGGGAGATGTGATTGCAGAAATTGTCTTCCAGCCATGCCTGAATTCTCCTGCTTGTGTGTCATGGTGCAGGGTTCTGTTGCCAGACATAGGGTCTTCCAGCAGTCATCCTCTTGACCCAGGGCAGCATTACCTCCTCAAGGCACTTTATTGAAGCCTCCATGTTGAGTCTAAGGCCCACACTGGCAAATTTGGCAGTTCTTATCAAAACAGTGAGTCTTCTGAACTGCCATACCTTCATAATCACAATTAGACTCCACCAACTCTTCTCAAATTCTCTGCTTTGTCCTCAGATTGACACCCACTCTGAAATATTTGTATTGGAGCTTCCAGCACAAATGCCAAGCAGTATAGCATGTCATTTCCAAATTGAATTGGATCACAGGTGCTCTTTATCTCACAGATGGTGCCCAACTGACCCTACTATACTGTGCAGTTTACAAAATAAAATTTAAAAAAAAACAATGCATGCCCACAAAATAAAAATTTAAAATGGCAACAATTTACCCATCGCTGTGTGTGTGTGTAACCTAGCCTTATTCTTTTATGCTTGCCTCAATGCCTGACCACCAACAATCCCTATCCACCATCTTTTTATTATTGCAATACCTATAATAATCTTCTTTGTCATTGAATTTACATTATACAATTAATAGCCCTTTTCTGTCAGTAACACTTGATTTAAAATTTTCATTGGTCAGGGATTAGTGCAGGCATAACTGTCAACATATAGCTGTTACATATATAATGTAAATGCATTTTACTATAGAAATTCATTGCTAACAAACTATAAGAATTTATTGAAAAGCAGAAAAGGGATTATCATTGGTCAGGAATTAGTAACAGAATAAGGATCTAAATGTACTGATAGCAATTTTTCTATAGAAAAGAATTTTAAATGATTTTATTAGAAAATGCATTGGAATAAGAATTTGGCATTATAACAGGTGGTTTGACTTGCAGAAATTCAGACTTGTTTTTTGTGTGTGTGTGTCCAAGTGGTTAACCGTTCAACCATGAGACCTAGGTTTGGCTCTCACGGGGTTAATCTTTCAAGGAGGTGACATGTTGATAATATTAGACTAGAGAGGCAATCACAGTGTGTGATACAGTTTGGGAGGACTTGTAAACTAGAGTACATATGGACCAAAAGCCTTAAGAGTGAAATTGGACATACAAATCTAGGAAGCTATTTACTATCAATACTAGCAAAAAATGAAATCATAAGTCCTCATGACAAAAATGTTTGCGCATAGCCTTATTCAACTATTGATTTTGTCAGGTTATTAACTTTCTCTTAGAAACTGTAACAATCGTTAGCTCAGTATAGTTGCAATATAAAACCACAGTTTGACTGTATGCTATAGATTTGATGAAGAAAAAATGTGCCTGAATTAATGTCTGCAATAAGGATTTTGCATACAAGATTTATTAATGTGCTCACCAAACTTTAGGTCAGTTGAAATGTTATTTCTTTGTAGGTAATTTTTTTTTTTTTTTTAATCTAAATTTTAGTAATTTTTGCAATTCTTTCACATTCCAAGCTGAACACCATTGTTGTATCTACTCTTACATTATTATCTGTACTAAAACTACTATTAAAATAAAATGTTGGATAACTTATTGAAAAAAAGTACACATTTGTATATGGATAGACATGTGTGACTAGGCTTATTTATTTTACTGTGTGTAACATAAAAGTGGATAGTGGGGTCAACACCAAGAAGTAGCAACAGTCTGTTGATTCATGCTTGAATACAATCTTCAGACCAATATTGTTTGTCTACTTTGATATTTACATGTGAACTCTATCTTTGATATTGAACACTTTTACTCAGAAATATAGCAGACCATAAAACTATATTTTTATCATATGCACACACTTTTCTCTCTTTCTCTCTCTCTCACACACAGGGTTTTCATGGTATTTTTATTTGTTTATTTAAGTCCCAAAATTCAAAGTAGATGACAAGAAAAAAGAATCTGAAACTCATCGACAATACTTATATATATATATATATATATATATATATATATATATATATATATACATATATATATACACACACACACACACAGTTATTGTACCATCATAGACTTTCTGCTTGTGATAATTGAAGAACCAATTATATGATGAATAATAAAGCCCATGTTCCACAATGAAACTAATCACAGATGAGAGGAGGGGGAAGTGTTTAAAGAAGAGGTGAGTGTTTGGGCCAACACACCACTTTTATTATATTACATCAAATAATATAAAGTCTTTTTACATCTCTTTTCAACTCTTTTCTCCATTCCAATCTCCTCCCCTAACCAACTCTTGCTTGCTTTTTTTTTTTTTTTTTTTTTTTTTTTTTTTTGAAGAGTTGTCCAATTTTCTAGGAAATGTTTCTTCTTGTGCAATTTAAATCAAAGGGTGAGATTTTTTTGATTTTTTTTTTTCCTTTCATATTCTTATATCTTCACAAGACTGAAAGTTGGTTAAGGGTGGGTGAGATCTTGAATGCATATGCAAGTTTTTATGCATTGTATATTGAAAAAAAAAAAAGTTACTCAAACACAAGTTTACATTTTTAAGCATATGTTACTGTATGTGTAAAATATCTTTGTGTATGCATGTGCATGTATCTATCTATATACATCTTTGTCTCTCTTTGTGTGTGTGTGTGTGTGTGTATATATATATATATATATATATATATATATATATATATATATATATATATACACACACACACATGCTTACACAAATATATTTTACAGACAAGTACATGCATACACACACAGTAACATGCTTAGAAATGTAAACTAAAATGTATGTGAGTGCGTGTGTGTTAAACTTCAAATGTTATGTTTAGTGGATTTTTGTATTTTAAACATTGTTTTACATCTATTGGCCTGAGCATTTGAGAAATTTTATTAAAGATGATGTGCTCTCTGGCTATGTTCGAACATACACATGCATCCCCCACCCCCACCCCTGTACAGGAGAAAGGACTGTTTTATCTGGCCTGTATTAGAGTTCTTAGTCACAAAAAGTGAATAAACATCTGTTTTTTATTTTTATGTGTAATATATATAATATATATATATATATATATATATATATATATATATATATATAATATATATTATATATTATATATATATATTATATTATATATATTATATTATATATATATATATATATTATATATTATATTATATATATATATTATATATATATATATTATATATATATTATATATATATATATATATATATATATATATATTATATATATATATATATATATATATATATTATATATATATAATATATATATATATATATATATATATATATATATATATATATATATATATATATATATATATTTATGTGTGTCTTTGTATGTGTTTGGGGATTGATTTTTAAAATACATTCATGTCTAACATTGCACTCTCACATCTAGCCTAAAGAGCTGTGAGTTTTTGAGTGACATCATTTTCCATCCAAGCTATAGTCTACTTTTAAGTTTAATTCATATGCATCATAATTCATTTTTTTGCATCCATCTTGACCTACTCAGGGCATCTGTATATCTGTACAAGTTTGTATAATATTCAATGATCTTACTAATCTGTCTTCATATTAGATGACTTACATAAATGTGCACACACACACACACACACACACATAAACACTCTAGCATAATAGACCCATACATAAATATAGATATCTTTAAGCTTTGTCTAACACAAGGCCTCAATAATGGAACATTCAGTTAAACTCAATATACACCTGCAGGTCTGTAGCTTGTAAACCATTCATTATTTTGTTGAGTAGGTATCCCTAAAGTAGGCACTGATGCCAACACAATGTGGCAACAATCTGTTTCATAGAAGAATGTAATCTTCAGGCTATATTTGTATATGTTGGTAGATAGTGCATTATAGGTTCCTGCTCAGTGTTGACCTTGGTGTCCAATTTTTTCATTTACATATGCTCTATCCCTGATATTGAGCACTTTGATCCATACATATAGCTGACCTTTTTATCATAAAATTTGTCACTTTGCTGATTGATGTTATATTTAGTATTTCATCTACGGAGTTTCATAGACAAACCTCTTTTGTAATTGTTCAGTCCGCTTGTACACACACACATGAACTGCTGCTTTGTGAAACCAACTTCCAAGAGGGTGCTTCCTTGATCATTGCAATATATGTTGCAGACTTGTGTTAACTGCTATCTTCTCCATATATCCCCATAAATTGTACCTCTGACTCTATAACCCTCTACCTCAAATGGCTCTTAGGCCCTATACAGGGTAAACATTATTGTAAATACACACACATTCTTAGGGTGAAGGTA